CATGATACATTAGACGTAAATTGCACATTTTGTTACCCAAAAAATTACTTCGCCGACGTTGGAAGCGTTAATATATTTTATACTTTAATATCCCAATGTAGGTGCTTACGCAATACACAACACAAGATAGTAAAAATATGGTGGCATGTTCTGAATCTGTTTGAAATGTTGATAGCTGTCGGGATTCAGTCGTTATTCCGCATGAGTGACTCCGTGAAATGAATGAACGTTGTACAGCTATTTTAAGAACCGATATTATGTTATTACGTACGTACCTACGTATGTATTATAATAGCTGACAGTGGTTGGATGAGAAGATCTGAACATCGACCTCAATGGCGTGCAATTTAACAGACCTATTTCCAGCATTGGACGAAAACAGCCTGATGATGATGATGACATCTATTATGAGAATCTATAATCAAAACCATAGGGCTTCAAATCAGAAACTTAACCCAAATTAATACAAACAAAGAGCCAATAACCCGCCGTCTTTTCAATTCATCAAAATGTTCACGGTTCATTGACGTCAGTATTTTCATATCTCGGATTCTCGGCAACAAATATTGATCGTCTATGAGTTTGATGGCGGTCCATTAGATATCAGACGGTGCCCCGAACTATAGGTGTTTCGTTTTTCAATAATCCCTCAAATGTGACAGACGTGATGGATGGCAGGTTCGCCGACCACGTTTTGACTTTATTTTGCTCTATCAAAACATTTTCGATCTCAAATCTTTCAGATTGTTCACTGGATTAACTCTTTTATTGTAGATTTACTTTGATACTTTTAGTTCACTGAATAAAATAGTTTTCGAAGTTTTTTATTAACTTGTATTGAAAAGCAATCGAGAGAATGTTATTTCTAGCAAGAAGTTTGAACGTGTAAACAGCTACTTTTCGTGGAAGGTTAATTTTTATCTTTCTTATAATAGGTCGTGAAGAGGATAAACAAAAACATCTTAATATTGTTTACGATATCATTATGTTTACATCGAAGGCGCTACGCGTCTTCTAGTGTTACAAAAATAACTCTATTTTAGTAAACATTTAGGCGTAATATATTATACGACGAGAATGGTTGAAGGAAAAACATATCTAAATATAGACAGACACATTATGTTAACGTGGAATTAACTAAGCAGACTAATTAGATAACAGTCTATTTTAGCTTCTCTAGTTGCTACAGAACTTCGTAATAATCTCTTAAACCTATTTATTACCTGACGTAATATGTTACGTTTACAGGCATATATACATATAACTGGTATAGTATATCTATTCATTCATCAGTACCAAACAAACAAATAGTCCCGATTGATCAGTTGCAAATAATACCGTAGTTTGACTTGAAAATGACTTGTTAAAATTTGACCAAACCAACCACTAAAACACGTAATTAAAAAACTCAAAGTTCCGAACGCCTTCCAGTCTGTACGCTAGACTCCACATGAGCATATTAGAATAAATATCAAAGCCAGAGTACACCAAGTTTTAATAAGGAGCATAATTTAAAACGGCTTGGGAACGCTCCTTGCGATTGGGTAGCATACGTGCTCACTTCACCTTTGCCAGTAATTATTCTTTGAATAACTCGGTAACCAGGTTGCGACATTTAAGAGCGATAAATTATAAACAACTATACGCTTCCATTAAACAGTAATAGCCATACGCCATTTTATTTTACTGACAAAGCACTTGATTGCGTTTTTACGGTATTATAAATATTATATTAGTTTAAACATATTATTACAATATCCATCGAATATAAAATAAAAAAATTGCAGAACATTCTTAAACATCGAACAATGATATATTTTCCAAGAAAATCGGAATGTGTTTCCAGTCGCAGATTATAAACATCGTAACCATTACGAAACTAAAATTGCTCTCAACGTCGCAAAATTGAGCAATCTCTAAAGCACACGTTCGCAGAGCGAAGCGAATAATTAAGTGTGAGCCTGTAATTAAAGTCTCTTCACGTGTCGCTAAGAATGTAGGCTACACTATAATTTGTTTTGCTTAAGCAACTGGTAAACAAACGATGGTCGAAAAGTACAACAAAAAAAGTAATTGCAATGAAAAACTGCAAGTTCAAAACAAAGGCGGTAATTATTCCCAAGGGTTTTCCACAAACACCCGCCGAAAGGCAGCTACATTGTTCAGCGTAATGAGCTCTAAAATAACGTTTAAACGAGAAACTGTGAGCCACGAGACTTTCATACAGAAGCGTGTAGGCACAAATGTTTGGATACCATTAAACTTTCTGTGTTAACGATGAAACGTGCTAAAGAAGCTCTAGCAAAAATTAAGACCCATTTTAAAATAAATTACATTATTCATTAAATAAAAAGACTGGCACTTAAATTTCCATATTCTAACAAATATTAAAACATTGGATTGAATCGGTAAACTTAATATAGATAAAAACTTCACTTTCAAGGTGATAAAAAGGACCACCATGTAAAATTCAACAGTAGCAACATTTGAGACGAGTGTAACTGTCCCGCACGTGACGTCACGAAACCGTGCGTGTACAAATCCCTTCACGGTCGGGCAGGCGCCGGCGCACGTCCTGCCCTTCGCGAGCCATTTGTGTCCACGTGTTGGAATTTTTAATAGAACCGGAACATCGGTCGTCCTGTAAGTGAATCATCCCGAAGCTCGTACAAAATTGCATGGCCCTTTCTTCTTTGTATGTAATTTGTTTTGCTATTTTTATAGTTATGAAGTAATTCTATGGCGGATATTTTACATCATAACAAAGTAATTGCATAAGCTTATGTACCTTTTAAGTCTTCATTAGTTTCTGTTATTGCGTTTTTATTTTTACAGCGATAAAAATCAATTGTATTATAAGTTTAATTCATAATATTTACCATCAATGCATACGGAGCTTTCAAAAGATCTCATAAATATCAAATAACCAAGTGACCTTTTCCAAGAGGAAAACTTTTCCTACTCCACTTCCAACTTTATAAATTATGCTCCGAATAATTGTCAATAACTTCGACCGAATTTCGGTATTCTTTCACACTACTTAAACTTGATTTTTTAGGTATAAATCTACGTCGAAACGACGAAAACGAAAGCCTTTAGAGGGGAGCACAAAAACTAAATTTTCACATAAATAATTCAGCAAGCAACATTCTCAGCAGAAAAACAAACAAAATCCCAGCAAGGCACAAGAATAATGGCCATTATTTCTCTCAAATAATCTTAGTACATAAGGAATAAATACATATTTTTCGTCGGCCGAGAGTCGAGGGCGATAAACAAGATTAAAATTACACGAAGAGAAATGGGTGAGCCTGGGGCATTAATCCCAAAGGGAAGCTGAAGTTGAATGGCTAGTTAATAGTACAAACAAAATGTTGAACTACAAAATATAAACACTAAGAACAATGAAACAACAACCACGTTGCGCTATGAATAATAAATGAAAGAGAAAATGATACTGAAGAATGGAGAGTCATAAAAATGGGAGGACAATGGAAGGTTCAAGGTTAACTTGGTACAGGTATAACAGAGGAACAAGCTATATGGTTGTAGGTGAAGAAAGATATAGTGATACTCAATTAGATTTGATTTCATAAACCTGTCTTCCGGTATATGAGACACAATAGAAAACACATTGTGTCTCGCGTAGATCCGAGGTCTATAAAGGGGTTGATAGCTAAACAAATAATAACATTGAATTGTTAGTAACAAAAAAAAACCTAACTAAATATCCTCCACGGATTTCAAAGTGTCATTTCTAAATCCTTTTAGTAAAATCACATTATCATAAAGGTGAGGTTGGGGGGAAAAGGTGCACAAAATAAACTTCGGATACACCGCTTGCTGTAACGTATGAATTAGGGCAACGGGCTTAGTTAATGGTAATACAATAAATTTAACAATTTACGTGAGTATAAAAAAAATATAAAACATAACACAAAGAAAGTTGATAAGGAGAAACGAGAAGGTATACCCGAAACCAAATATGACTAGAACGAACACCATATTTGTAGTCTAGACTTCTTTGAATTTAAATTGTAAAATGGCAGAGATAAAGAACAATATTTTCGCTAGGGCAAAGACCGTTATAAGAATTAGGAAGCCCTTGTTTGGTCGGGTTTTGTAACAAATTCCCTGCAACCCTCAAGGCATCAGTTTATCTGGCGCGACCAGCCGTTCCCAAGCCATTGCTCTTGAGACATAAATTACCATTAACTAGACAAGTCTGGACTGAATGTTGTTTTACTTTGCAAAATATTCTCATTTCAAGTTGTTTGTTTATTCGTCTCAAGAGAAAATATTTTTATATTGCACTTAAATAGAATTTTTTGTACAAAAAGGAATTCTTGATATTTTTTTTCCTTAAAGTACTTATTGTATGGACAATTAAGTTTGGGCTTCTATGAAATGATAGAACCTATCATCGTCATATTCTAAAAATGACCTTCATAGTTTTTTTATATTACTCGATTCTACATTTTCAAAAACAAAAACAAGTGCTGAAAATTGCAAGATAATGCGACCACAAAATGTTGATAACATTTTTACTACTTCGACAACTTCTAAGAACATTAGATAGAAACCCCGGAATGTCATAAGCTCTTTGGACCAGGATAATATGTAGAGTCTTCTGCTATAAATATCTTTACGACACAATATTGGGATACGGAAGTATTTTCGGAAGGTTTTATTTCGATGTGCTAGTACTTACTTCAAATTTTATGATACGTGGCTTTTAAAACAACGCATTTATTATTGGGAGCATCGAAATGCGTGTCCAATTATAAAATAATCATAAACAGAACTGCCGAATACGATTTTTTCAGCAAATGGAACGGGTTAACGTCTGCTACGTGTTCCATATCTCGTGAATCGTGTGTCAGATCCCATACGAATGATAATTCCTGGTGTGAAACCAGATACTAGACTCTTAGATACATGTTTCGGTAATCTAATTTAGGTTGACTTAGTTTTAACATACATAAATTATTTCTTCTTACCTGTTTGTCCATACGCAAAGATACAGGCGTTGTATCCGTCGAAGGCATTGTCGAGTATATCCCTGCCAAGACATTCGAAAACTGTCTTCTGAGAGGCAAAGTGAGGCAGGGATGGGTCCAGGGAGTAAAAGCAGTGGTCGAACGCAAAGGTCTTTGGTTGTTTTCTGAAAAGATAAGAAAAAACAACATTAGCATCCATACTCATATCACTTAGTTTATAGGCTTACATTGCTGTACCATCTCAAAACTGCAAAGATTTCTTATAAATTATCTGATTAAAAGCATCAATTTTCAAAGGTACCACCAACAATTATATTCTAAGAACATCTATAGAACAAACAAAACAGCAACATTGATAGTATGAATGGTGTCGTTTTAGTTCTCTCCAACTCCAATAAAAACTTGTTATCATGATCAAATTTAATTCCAAGGTCGTCTTTAGTTGGTAACAGTCAGATATATACAATAATGTACCTACCTATGCCTATACATCGAGTCACCTACTAGTAAACAGAAGCAGTTGCGTAAAAGCCCTATGGCGGGCAACAGCCACGTACGTGGGTCGTTTTAATCAAACTACGCTAATAGTGGTTGGTGAGTTTTAATTAATTACATTTTCAAGGGTTGCCAGCCATCTGTACAGTACGTTTGTGGAAAAGCTTTAATTTCACTAAACCTACATTTTGACTACACTTATTTTAAATTCAATTTTGTTGTGGATACAACACGTTGTTAGTAAAGTTTCTGTAGAAAACGTGCTTGGTATAAAATTGTTTACGTAATACGATAGTTCTATACATCAATTAAAACCCTTGTGATTACGTTACTTTCGAATAAACAATAATTCTTAAACTTATAATACCTTTTCGTTGGTTCTTGCAAATAATTCGATAAAGATTAAAATCTGAATAAATCGTAGAACCGAGCCAATAAAATCCGATCACGGTATGACACGAGCCAATACCCTCCTCATAATATATTTCCTAAAGTTGAATCACTTTATACCCTCTACAGCTAAACTCGAGCTGCAGAAATGTTCAACCAACTTAAAGCTCCCTGAACTTATTTTCCCGATCCAATACATTCTGTTCCACTCATCCATTCGTAGATAGAAAAGGACGGAAAAGGAATAAATTCCCTCAATACTTTTCGTTAGAATTGGTAACGGGTGGCGTGCCAAAAGATAATGTTATTACTTCGATTTATTGGCCTAATTGTTGTTTCTTAACGACTGCGGGGTCGCTGTTGATTCTACTAGATTTGTATCAGTACGCCTCATTAGTCGAGAAGCCCAATGCTAAGCTTTGTCCGTCCGTTTGTTTCGTTCAAAGATCACTGACCTCAACGTTTTGGCGCATACGCTAATGTTAGTAACTTTGCTAATACGCTAATGTGTTCACGTTGCTCAAGTTAAGCATTAGTTGAAATTAGTAGCTGCGAACCATCTGAGCTAACCAGTAATTACGTTTTATTAAAATAATGCTTGTATATTTTATGTTTTGGAGAAAAGAGCTGACTGGGGATATTTCGACATATTTCGAAATTTAGTATTATTTGCAAAGCCTGTCTAAACCTGCATTCCCCGGTCGGTGACCTTAAGGTGCAGGAACTTAGTGCGTGGTGGGTGAACCAACGCCATTGCGTGTTAATGGGACGTTTAACACGTTAAACAGGGAGAGCTTTATGCAGGACTAGGAAACTTAATACATATAGTTAGTTAAATATATTTAACCAAAGTTCGTGCTACTGTATACCGTACGGTTAACTGTCAGATTAGTCATAAGTTGTCCATTTTCCCTGTTAAGGTGAGTCTTTAAAGGCAAAGATCTCATATCTGCCATACATAAATCTTTGTGTATCTGTGTGATACCCGGACCTATGTTTGTTTTATTTAACCTAGGTTTTATATTTACCTTCCCCAAAAACTTTATTAAGGTAAGCTGCTACTAAAAGGACTGCGTTGACCTTATCAAGCAGTCAAAGAATTTAATTCTAACCCTTTTCACGTTCCTAAGAACAGTATTATCAAGTTTCCGATTTGATGAGAGATGATACTTTACCAAATTCCCGATCAACTTTGTAACTTGAAACCGAATTATAAGACGAAGGAGCTGGAAGTTTTGTTAAATATTCGTTAAGTTAAAGGTAATCTGTAAGATAACTGGCCGTTCAATAGAACTTCCATCGTGGGTTTATAAATAAAATCCTTGGTAAAGACATTGTTTACGGAATCAGTAGGTACTTGACGTAACCTAAATAAATGAGGAAGTATTTTAATCAGTTTAGAAATTCTGTTTGCACAACAAAATTCATCAAAGCTAACGTCACTCCCGAATGCACACTGTGACGTGCAGGTGTTTATGACAGAATTCAATTTGCCACGTTGGCTACTGCGTCACACCTACGAGCATACACGGGTTAGTTGTTAGTAATCAACGCTGGCTGAAATACGCTTTGCCAATTTCGGCCTACTATTAACATTATGTAAGGCAGGAAGCCTACGCGAAAAGGAAAATTACGAAAGCCGGAAATAAATAGATCTCAACTGATAACTAGTTACAAGTGCTTGTTGCTGTCTGTTTCAGACCAGGCTCGGTTAATTAATTCTTATATGTGACATTTATTGTGCCTATAACAAAATTAGATACTTTTTTGAAGGGGAAAATCATTGAATGGTCTCTCGCCCTGGCTGAAAGGCAGTATCAGACTCTTACTGACAAAAAATCACCCCGTTCTACCGTATTGCGACCACGGCCCAGAGTATGCGAAGGATGTCTCGATTATTTAATTCAAACTTAAGACAATATTGGTTAAGAAAGGCACTTAATTAGTAGTAGTTTGCAGTATTTCAAACCACGTCATCAAACGAATAGAACGATTGGAATAAAAACAAAACGTAGATTCGTTTCTGCTTTAAACGGACGTAGCCTAATTTCAGTTAATTTCTGTAGATCAACTGAGATTAAATTGGCTAACGAGCATCGCTATCCATACTTAGGTAGAAATCGACTAGCTGGTAGCGAGTATGGCAATAAGGCTAAGTTCTAATGATGAAAGCTTGACGGGCGTTTGATGAACGCGAGTGTACAACGTCTAATGAGGTACGCCTTTCTAGGTGAACGTCATTCATAGAAACAATCCGTAGGTATAGAACACATAGTCTTGAAGGCGAAGTAGAAGCAGGCGTTTGCCGTCTGAACTTAGTCTGTCACTAGAAGGGTAAAGTTGTAGTTTCCGCTGAATGCTCGGGACTTCTGATTTCAAAGTCTAGAACGTCCTGATTCCGCTTGTACGAGGGGCGTTTGATATTTAAGATCGCTGTTGGCAGTCGACAACGCTTAAGTTCCTCTCGGGCGATATTATATTAGAATACCAGGATGTTGCTCTGCCACTTCGAGATGTAATTTAAAACGTTTATCCAGCTGGGAGTATAAATTTTACGAAAAAGAAAGACAAAGTAAACACAGTACGTCTCTCAACAATTTCATTAGACAACATGTATTACACTCGTCATATTCTCACAAGATAACTGTAAACGAGAAAACTTTCAAGAGACTCCGCTTCGGAACAAGCAAGTTTAATAAAAAAGTCAACCGTAGGAAAAAGCGTGGATTCCGCTGCTTTGTGAGAGCTACGAATGTTTTGTATTGTATCAAATCTGATCATACGTGCGATATCTAAAATCAAGACTTACACAATCTGGAACAATTTTATCAGCACATTTCACATAACTAAGCTTATTATAAAATATTGAACGTGGTTGTTTTTAGACCTTTAAAAATTTAATACCTTCCTTTACGTGTTCATAAAGTTATCATACTGTTTCAGGTATTGGATTACACTATTGAGTATTACCATGGGCGAAGGTACAATCAAAACAGCAATATAAAGTCCATTACTTCTGTATAAGGTCGAAGCCCTACGTTACATTATGCCAATCCCCTAAAGTGCTTTTGAAAACATACACGAAATGGTTGTTCAATTCCATGAAACTTACAGCTATTTGTTTTGGGTAGTTTAAATAACTTTGTGTGTAGGTAGACCAGTGTCGAAGTCATGTCTAACTTTACACCGAACTAAGAGCAGCCTGTCAGCCGCCTTGCAATTCCTGCAGTACATGAACTACAAGTCCGCCAAGTACATGTTTCCGACAGAAGCAAGATTTCAAAGAACAAGAACTTACTACTATAGGGTGATCGAAATTAAAAGTTTTAAACAATTTTAAGTACATTCACTATTACGCTTTAAATTACAATTTCCTGAAATTTCTTCAAATAGCATTAGCATTTTGCGAATTGGCTCTCAGTCAAATAAACCATGAGCATATCAACGAAAGCAATAATGGCGCGTGTATGTCGAAGCGGGAAGTCCGCGTGGCGGCAGGATGCCGGAAGGCTTTGCAATGTTTGCTATAAAATAACATTCTTTGGCAACAATCCAAATACTTACTCATAGGATGCTCGCGGCGGAATCACAAGACATAACGCGTCAAAAACTCAGATAAATTTCGTAACATAAGCTGTTTCTAAAGGGTTTTACGACGAAGACTTGGTTCAACAGAGTCAGCTAAGCTTAGCAAGGATTCAAGGACCATTTACGTGCACACATAAAACACGGGTTCTAAGGTAATGAAACGTTTTCGTGCTCCCGGTAAAACTTTGCTTATCTTGGAACACCTTTTATTTAGATGAGTATAATTTTTATAAATTTTTTTTCGACAGACATACCCGTGAAATTTTATAGAAGTTACCTCAATTTTTATTATAACTTCATCATTAGTAATAATAAGGATTGTATATGTATTATATCCCACATGACGAGAATCTTGTGAAAGCTGAAAAAGATAAAGCAAGTAAATATCTTGATTTAGCTCATAAGATTGTCGACATGTGGGATGTAGACTCAGCAATCATTGTGCCGATAGTCGTGTCTGCCAATGGTCTAATGGCTAAAAGCCTTGATAAACACCTAAGCAGGCTTACGTTAGATGGTTGGGTCAAGAATCTGATGCAGAAAGCTGTACTTCTAGACACGGCGCGCATTGTCCGGAGATTCCTTTCTCTGGAACCCTGACCACCGGTTGCTTGGAACCCTCCCGCAACCGGTGGGATACTGCTTTTTATATTTTTAAGTGTCTTTTTTTTGTTTTATGAAAATATTTAAA